AGGGGGACGGTTTCAGTATTTTCTATCAGTTCTCCGAGCAGCCGGCATGAAAATGAAAGCTCACTCACCTTAGAACTCATCCGCTCCAAGTCATCACCACCAAACTCAAACTCCAGAATCATGAAAAGCTGCTCTGCACCAAACAAGTCTGACAAAACAAGAATCACATGGTCCAATCAGAGGACAGAGACTCGGAACACAGCCCAGCGTGACTGGGAACTGCTAAAGAACAAACATTTTATTCACACAACCGCTTTCTGCAAATGAAGGAACACACAAGATACGGCCGCACCAACATCTGGCCACTTGGCTTGTGGATCAGCTTGCCCCTCCCCCCACCATCCCCAGTCCTCCCTCTTAGGCCTGGTTCACACCTAGGCGTATTGCATATGCGCGGTTGTCGCGCGTTTTTTTAACCGCGATTCCCGGTAAAAACAATTGCGCAACAAACGCGCGTTTCCGAAGGCTACTTGGCTGTATCCCAATGGAAACGTGCAACAAAAACGGCCCAAAGTAGTACCTGGACCTTTCCAGGCGCGGGCCGCTTTGTAGCGCCTTAGGGACGGGCGGAAATACGCCGAGGTGGGAACCAGAACATTGAATACAATGGGATTTAGATGTTTGAGCGTTTTGTAGAGCGTTCGCCGAGCGTAGAACCCGCTACAAAACGTTCCGGTGTGAAGGAGGGCTTAAGCTGGCCGTACACTAGCAGATTTCCCAACAAATGTTCATAGGGAAGATCTTTCTTTACCACCCAATAATACCATCAGACACTCGCCGATTGTGGAACGAATGACGTTTCCCGAACGAAAACCACGCCGACCGTTAGAACTTCCATCCTGCGGCTTCAGGGTTTTCCGTCACTACAGTCGGAGTCGATGATGGATTTGGCCCCATCGAGCAAAAGAAAGTCGAACGAATGTTCTTCCCTACGAAAGTTCTTTTGAAAATGAGAGTACGGGAAGATTGAATTCTGGGAAATTCCAGTATCCATAGTCCTGGAAAATGGCACTCGGGTAGTGAGGTGAGGGCCGCTTGAGGCAGAGTTCTCCTCTTATCCCAGGCTGGATAGATGAAGTGTTCCCCAGAATCCTCGGCGTCATTCATGAAGGTGTGAGACCGCTGTCGCAGCAAAAGATGGTGTCCCCCAGAATCCTCGGCGTCATTCATGAAGGTGTGAGACCGCTGCTGGAGTATCTGCAGGAGGAACGTGGCGCAGCAAAAGATGGTGTCCCCCAGAATCCTCGGCGTCATTCATGAAGGTGTGAGACCGCTGCTGGAGTATCTGCAGGAGGAACGTGTCGCAGCAAAAGATGGCTTAAAATTAAACTTGTCACTAGATCTCCCTTTTCTTCCTTACACCGGGAGTTGGGCTTCAATCAGAATCTGGCCAAGACTCTACAACCAACAACCCCGATTCCTCCAACCAGCTGAGCGAGGAAAGCGGGTAACAGCAATACAAAGGAAAATTAGGAGAGATTGATGAAGCCAAGATCTGGAGGAAACCTTAGCTGCCATCTCAGCACAATATTGGAGGCTTAAAGTATCTACAAAACACTTGGAGAAGCTGGAGGTGGCTGAGGTGTGATGAATCAACCAGAAGAATCTGAAGAAGCCAAAACCTTTTCTTGTTTTTGGTTTGAACGTTTATCGTTATTTTCCTGCCCTGGGGACACCAAATTCTGTTCAATTCTTGTCCTGGTGACAACCCTGGAAATCGCCACAAAGGTTTCACCAACAGAAACTTGCCAGTCCCACTCTATGTGAAAGAAGTTGTACCTGGAATCAGGATGTATGTATTGGGACGGTCTTCCTATGCTTTGGTTTGTGTGGCAGTCATTGTGACCGAAGCATTGTTGGGTGGAAAGGATCTCAGGTCAGAGGCTGCAATAAGACAAGACACACCTCACCTCAGATGTGGAAGATGGAGGCATGGTTCCTCCACCATCAGACAGTCCAATGTAACAAAGTGAGGTGCCGGAGATCTGGATCTGAATCTCCATCCGTTATTCTAATGACCTCGTCATGATAAAATCAAAAATTCTGCCGCAGAAGATGTTCAGAGACGTGATGAGCAACACACTGAAGATTGGAAGGAACCCGTGCCACACGATGACATCATATATTGTACTCTTCATCTATTTCAATGATTGAAGTCCCCTAAGAAGAGAAGTCAGAACGAGACTCCATCTCACCACTGAATATTAAGGGGACAGAAATTCTCATTCCAATCTCCCCGGAGGTCCGCATAGAGCTCGTCACAACGTTCCCTCTGATAACAAACTGTATTTACTTCATGAAATGATCCGAAATGAAGGAGATTTCCTTATAAACTGATCACCGGAGTTCTTTGTAGGCGATAATTCGAAGAAGAAAACCAATAATGTGCAAAAATATATATAAAATCAGCGCAAATAATAATACAAATATAAATCGGTGACAATAAATAATGAGAATGAAAATACAAACAAACAATGTGATCATCACAAGTATAATAGTTACAAAACGTAAATCACAATCTGTATATGAAAGAGGATGGATGTGTCCCGGAAACGCTCTGCGGCCGAGTAGGAAATGTTCAGATGTAACACGCCACTTCCTCCAGCAAACACGTCATTCAAGCTTAATCTCCTAATGCAGCTACAAATTACTCACTAGATGGTATAGAAGCCCGCACCTTCTCCACAAATTTTCCCCTACTACTCCTGATACTTGTTGGCGTTGCAACTCGGCACAAAAGCTAGAAGCTGATTGGTTGTTACGGGCGCATGCGGTTTTGATAACTTCCCCCATGATCTCCAAGATGTTGCTATATCCAAAATAAAATGATTAACCACCTCCGGGCCGGCCGTAGTAAAAAAACAGCCGGCCCGGAGCTCTCTAGATCTGAGCGCTCAGCCACGCCGCTGGGCGCGCGCGAGCGGGAAACGGCCGAAATTTTAAAACAGCAGGTCGCCTGTGTCACGAGCTCCCTCTGGTCCTGAAGTGGTTAAAAAAACCTATTCAAGGAACAAAAGATGAAAGGAAGTCACCAGGATTTATTTTATTGTAAAAGGCAAAAAAATGTGCGGAAATGCTGGAGGTCCGACGTTCTGCCAGAGAAATGCTGGAGGTCCGACGTTCTGCCAGAGAAATGCTGGAGGTCCGAAGTTCTGCCAGAGAAATGCTGGAGGTCCGAAGTTCTGCCAGAGAAATGCTGGAGGTCCGAAGTTCTGCCAGAGAAATGCTGGAGGTCCGAAGTTCTGCCAGAGAAATGCTGGAGGTCCGAAGTTCTGCCAGAGAAATGCTGGAGGTCCGAAGTTCTGCCAGAGAAATGCTGGAGGTCCGAAGTTCTGCCAGAGAAATGCTGGAGGTCCGAAGTTCTGCCAGAGAAATGCTGGAGGTCCGAAGTTCTGCCAGAGAAATGCTGGAGGTCCGAAGTTCTGCCAGAGAAATGCTGGAGGTCGGAAGTTCTGCCAGAGAAATGCTGGAGGTCCGAAGTTCTGCCAGAGAAATGCTGGAGGTCCGAAGTTCTGCCAGAGAAATGCTGGAGGTCCGAAGTTCTGCCAGAGAAATGCTGGAGGTCCGAAGTTCTGCCAGAGAAATGCTGGAGGTCCGAAGTTCTGCCAGAGAAATGCTGGAGGTCCGAAGTTCTGCCAGAGAAACGCTGGAGGTCCGAAGTTCTGCCAGAGAAATGCTGGAGGTCGGAAGTTCTGCCAGAGAAACGCCGGAGGTCCGAAGTTCTGCCAGAGAAATGCCGGAGGTCCGAAGTTCTGCCAGAGAAATGCCGGAGGTTGGAAGTTCTGCCAGAGAAATGCCGGAGGTCCGAAGTTCTGCCAGAGAAATGCTGGAGGTCCGAAGTTCTGCCAGAGAAACGCTGGAGGTCCGACGTTCTGCCAGAGAAACGCTGGAGGTCGCAAGTTCTGCCAGAGAAATGCTGGAGGTCGGAAGTTCTGCCAGAGAAACGCTGGAGGTCGGAAGTTCTGCCAGAGAAACGCTGGAGGTTGGAAGTTCTGCCAGAGAAATGCTGGAGGTCCGAAGTTCTGCCAGAGAAATGCCGGAGGTCCGAAGTTCTGCCAGAGAAATGCTGGAGGTCGGAAGTTCTGCCAGAGAAATGCTGGAGGTCGGAAGTTCTGCCAGAGAAACGCTGGAGGTCGGAAGTTCTGCCAGAGAAACGCTGGAGGTCGGAAGTTCTGCCAGAGAAACGCTGGAGGTCGGAAGTTCTGCCAGAGAAACGCTGGAGGTCGGAAGTTCTGCCAGAGAAACGCTGGAGGTCGGAAGTTCTGCCAGAGAAACGCTGGAGGTCGGAAGTTCTGCCAGAGAAACGCTGGAGGTCGGAAGTTCTGCCAGAGAAACGCTGGAGGTCGGAAGTTCTGCCAGAGAAACGCTGGAGGTCGGAAGTTCTGCCAGAGAAACGCTGGAGGTCGGAAGTTCTGCCAGAGAAACGCTGGAGGTCGGAAGTTCTGCCAGAGAAACGCTGGAGGTCGGAAGTTCTGCCAGAGAAACGCTGGAGGTCGGAAGTTCTGCCAGAGAAATGCAAGTCCCTCAGACTCCATGTTGTCTGTTCAGTAATATGCAACCAAATCATTGTCAGGCAATGTAGCAGAGCCAAGAGCTCCATTGTCTGGGATCACATGACGTAACGCATGACGTAACGCATGGCATAACGCATGGCATAACGCATGGCGTAACGCATGACGTAACACATGACGTAACACATGACGTAACGCATGACGTAACGCATGACCAAACCTGCCGTCCTCTCACCTGGACGCTCGTTCTCTGAGCCCTTCTCCTCAGCAAAGTCATCCCAGGCCACAAGTAGCTCCATCGGATATGATCCCTTCACACAATAAGCCCTACAAGAAAAACATAACAGAGGCTGGAAGACAAGCTGGGGTTGGGTCAGACATGGAAGAGGGAACAGTACTAAATAATACAAGAGACGGGGACATGGAAGGCAGCTAGGAACAGCAGAAGGAAGGCAGAGTATGGAAAGCAACCAGAAAATGAGTTGGACATGGAAGGTAAATGAGAATGCAGGAGAAGGATGGCAGATGATATGGAATGGTAGGAGTGGAGAGGAACATGGAAGGTAACTGGGAACAGTAGAGGAATGGTGGATGGGGGGTAACCACGGCTGGCAGTAGAGGAATGGTGGATGGAGGGTAACCAGGGCTGGCAGAAGAGAGGGACATGAAAGGTATGGGGGGTAACCACGGCTGGCAGAGGAGAGGGACATGGAAGGTAACTGGGATCAGTAGAGGAATGGTGGATGGAGGGTAACCAGGGCTGGCAGAAGAGAGGGACATGGAAGGTAACTGGTTTAGTAGTAGATTGATGGTATATGGATTGGGAAGAATTGGTGGAAGAAGGTAGCCAGCAATGGAAGGACAATAGTGGAAGCCAGCAATGGAAGGACAATAGTGGAAGCCAGCAATGGAAGGACAATAGTGGAAGCCAGCAATGGAAGGACAATAGTGGAAGCCAGCGAGGCAAGGAAAATAGCAAGCAAAGTCATCCCAGGCCACAAGTAGCTCCATCGGATATGATCCCTTCACACAATAAGCCCTACAAGAAAAACATAACAGAGGCTGGAAGACAAGCTGGGGTTGGGTCAGACATGGAAGAGGGAACAGTACTAAATAATACAAGAGACGGGGACATGGAAGGCAGCTAGGAACAGCAGAAGGAAGGCAGAGTATGGAAAGCAACCAGAAAATGAGTTGGACATGGAAGGTAAATGAGAATGCAGGAGAAGGATGGCAGATGATATGGAATGGTAGGAGTGGAGAGGAACATGGAAGGTAACTGGGAACAGTAGAGGAATGGTGGATGGGGGGTAACCACGGCTGGCAGAGGAGAGGGACATGGAAGGTAACTGGGATCAGTAGAGGAATGGTGGATGGGGGGTAACCAGGGCTGGCAGAAGAGAGGGACATGGAAGGTAACTGGGATCAGTAGAGGAATGGTGGATGGAGGGTAACCAGGGCTGGCAGAAGAGAGGGACATGGAAGGTAACTGGGATCAGTAGAGGAATGGTGGATGGAGGGTAACCAGGGACGGCAGAAGAGAGGGACATGGAAGGTAACTGGGATCAGTAGAGGAATGGTGGATGTAGGGTAACCAGGGCTGGCAGAGGAGAGGGACATTGAAGGTAACTGGGATCAGTAGAGGAATGGTGGATGGGGGGTAACCACGGCTGGCAGAGGAGAGGGACATGGAAGGTAACTGGGATCAGTAGAGGAATGGTGGATGGAGGGTAACCAGGGCTGGCAGAGGAGAGGGACATTGAAGGTAACTGGGATCAGTAGAGGAATGGTGGATGGAGGGTAACCAGGGCTGGCAGAAGAGAGGGACATGGAAGGTAACTGGTTTAGTAGTAGATTGATGGTATATGGATTGGGAAGAATTGGTGGAAGAAGGTAGCCAGCAATGGAAGGACAATAGTGGAAGCCAGCAATGGAAGGACAATAGTGGAAGCCAGCAATGGAAGGACAATAGTGGAAGCCAGCAATGGAAGGACAATAGTGGAAGCCAGCAATGGAAGGACAATAGTGGAAGCCAGCAATGGAAGGACAATAGTGGAAGCCAGCAATGGAAGGACAATAGTGGAAGCCAGCAATGGAAGGACAATAGTGGAAGCCAGCAATGGAAGGACAATAGTGGAAGCCAGCAATGGAAGGACAATAGTGGAAGCCAGCAATGGAAGGACAATAGTGGAAGCCAGCAATGGAAGGACAATAGTGGAAGACACGGTGACAATCTTTATTACTCACGAGTGAAGTTTGATGAAGCCGCTGGTCATATTGCTCTCTCCTCCACTCAACAAGCTGAGTTCTCTGGAGAGAAAAACATAAAGCAGAAATCAGGGGCCACCCTTCCGGCCATTGCA